TGAATGCAGATCCTACTGATTCAATCATTTTACAGCTCTGGTATGTATCTACCTGAAGTTTCCAGCTCATGTGACTTACGGTCACGAAGTTAGAGCTGATTAAATAATTCACGCCTATGGGAGGTGCCACGCCCCCTTTTCCAATACCGCCCATATTTTCGCATGAGTATGGAATTAATTTTATTTATCTCGACAGCATGTTCCAATGCTCTATCATAAATATTTCAAGAGATATACAACATGAAAATTTTATATAGTATAGCACATGCCACGCCCTCTTTTCCACTACTGTCCATTTTTCTCTATACCTATAACCTTCCCTGGGTAAAAGCAAATAAGTGTGCAAAGTTTCGTGCGATTCCGTGCCGCGTTTCAGAAGTTATAAGGTAAAAAACAAACAAATAGACATTCACATTTATATATACATATAGATAGATTAATAATAAGGTGCGAGTTTCAATAGGCTAAGAATTCGCGTTCCATACAAACCAAATTGTCGCACACAGGTTGCATTCCAAAACGTCAAAATACAAAGCATCAGTGTCTTTTATTTCTAAACCTTAGTAGATTGTAATTCCAAATGTACGCAACCACGGTTAGATGGTAGTTTTCAACTAGGTTGGGCAAATAAGACTTTTTCTTCTAGTGCGATTTAGTATTAAAAGAGACTGATGCTTTGTATTTTGATGTTTTGGAATGCACCGACAGTAGTTTTGCATGACGCAGTCAGCAAAAAAAAAAAATTTTCAAAAATCAAAGCTATTTTGAAGACACTTTAAACTACATAGAATATTGTTGTTACGCAAATTTTTTGGATTTGTCTAATGTACAAGGTGAGAAATTTGGATTTCCATGGCTTTTGTTAAGGCAGTTCGGCATTCGCCCAAAATTTGGTGGAAATCGTACCCCAATCGGGTGAATGAATAAATATTTTTCTTTATCCCAATCATGACTAGACTGCGGATGTTTATGCATAAGACGAAGCCTTAAAATATGTACTCCATATCTATACACAAAATGTATACAAATTTATTTACTTTGCTTATAGTTAAGTGTACTTTCCCAGTAGAACTTGGGAGCATCGTACGATTGCTCGGTGAGTACTCCCTTGGGAGTATACGAATACTCCCCATTGCTCCCTATGCTTCTATGTATAAGCATGTAATATTGTATACTCCCTTTAACATTGGATGTCCTAGGAGGGGGAGTAATCCCTTTTACCTTCTAAACGAGCAATCGGGGAGCACACACAGAATTATCATCCCACAAACCTTCTAATGGAGCAATACGGGAGTACTCCCATAGTTACCTCCCAGAAACCTCCCAAAAAGACAACAAGGGAGGGCACATAGAAAACATCCCATATTCCTCCCGAACGAGCAATAAGGGAGTGCTCCCATTAGAGGCATCCCGAAAGCCTCCTATAGGAGTAATAAGAGAGCAATGATAACGAACATTTTAAATTAGCCAAATAGATTTTGCTATTTATTAAATTTTTTATTTAACTTTTTAATCACGTGCATTTGTGCAATTTTACAAGATCTTAACAGATATAAGTACGAGATCAGATAAAACATAAATGATACATCTTACATAATTGCTTAATATTAGAATTATATTGCAAAGAAATCATATGAAAGTATAACATAATAATAACAAAACGGTAAGATAAGATTTGAATTATATGCATCTATATGCACATATAAGTATGTACTCGTATATGATTTCCTGGGTGTCAAGGATGCTTGCCTGTTCAGGAATCCACCAAGCGGGGAAATTATGAAGGTGACTTTGCTTATCTGATATCTTTGTCATCCATGCGATGTTTAAACCCGGGGGTCACACTTAAATGCAAACACTAATTTGCGCAATCTGAAAAGTATTTAACGGTATATTTATAAGTAAGACAATACTTAATATATTTAAACAAAAGTTGAGGTACATACCAACAGACTTTTATTAAAATCTGTGTGCTATCCAAATTAGATTATTGTGTCCTCCTTATGCGTCTATAAGAAACATTTTCTGTTGTTTTTTTTCTATGATAAATTTTTCCGGAAACACAAAATTTCTTTTAAACGAGGTGGGTATTGCTCTCCTATCAATCAAAAAGAATACTCTTGGATTTCTCGCTTAGGAGACATCACTTTTTAATCCTAAACGAGTAATAACGGAGTACAAAACCGACAAATCTCGCTTATTGCTCCCAAATCATGCCTCAGGGAGCATTCTTTAATTGCTCGCTTAGGAGATCTCTCATTACGCTCTTAAGCAAGCAATACAGGAGGACAAAACCGACAAATCTCGTTTATTGGTCCCAAATCATACCTCAGGGAGTATTATTTCGTCGCTCGCTTAGGAGATCTCCTATATGATTCCTAAACGAGTAATAAAGGAGTACAAAACCGACAAATCTCCCTTGTTGCTCAGAAATCAGGTTAAGGGGACTACTCTTTTATTCCTCACATAGGGAGATCTCCCTTCAAGTTCTATTGGGTGTATACATTTTTCAATAGAAGTTCGCTGTGTTGTACCAATTGTGTGATTACAATAAAAATTTTAGTCTCGATTTTTTTTTGTTTTGTACCTATAGCCCAGTATAAAAAATACACACATCTGTACAAATGTTCTTTAAAAATGCTTTTATTTTTAAACGGAGATACTTCGAAATGGAATTTTTCGCAGTATTATACAGTTTTTTTGTCCTATAAAGGGTACGAGCATTAGATAAATGTATATAAATACGAGTATGACGTATGAATAACATTATTTCCTGCTCTGATTTCATTCACACATTTCTGTGTTTTTCCGTTGATTTTCCTCGTTAGGTGCTTCATTTTTTTGTAAAACAACGGGCATTTTTAAAACACGAAAAAACGAAAACTGGTCTATATGAATAACGATCGCTTAAAATCGATCTCAAATTTTGTACTTGCGCTGTAGAAATTTTAGGTCTATATTATGTAGTTTGACTATTGTCAATTAAATCTAATTCTTTGTATTGCATGCGCTCCACTTTTTTTGTTTTCAATCTCATAAATTGTTTATAATGACTTTAGCTAAAATTTCAAAATCAAAAGTTATCAAAACAAATTCTATGGGACTGAGTCCATTTATAAAAACGTGGTATATTAAAAAGTTTTAATTTTTAATTTTAATTTATTTAATTTTTTTCATTCCTAAGCAAAAATGCTTCACGCATCATATTTCAGTAAAGTCGGATCATTTTTAGTACTCTTTGCCGCATCTTATATGGGACCACCCTAATATATAATGTATGTAAGTATCTACATGAGCACATAGATTTACGTTTCGCTATCTAAATAATTTTTCCCATACAAAACCTATTGTACTCGCATCTCAGAATAAATGAATTTCACAGGTTTTAAACGAAAATTCTATTCTAATTATTTAGATAAGTAAAATTGGAAGTGAAACGTGTTTTAATTTTCAGTTGAAGTTCGATTGCTATTCATAAACCTTGTACGAATCTGCGGAATGAGAGTTCTTAGTGTTCTTACGATTTGCTTAGCAATATCATTGCTGCCAGGTGGGGGCTTAAAAAAGGTGATCTCATATTTTTCATTAATTTGCTCTCAAATTAACAGTTTCGATGCTGGCTGACCCTCCACCACCACCACATTATGACTCGCTACGCACCATGGCAGAGGCTGCAGTTGAGGATTGCTATGAGGATGCGGATCAGAGTGTTAAAGTAGAAATAACCGATGGTCTGTATACTACAATATATTTTATGATGTATGCCAAAAACATTTACGGCCCATTGCAGAGGGCTTCGATGAGCTATTAAGGGGTTCACGTGATAATTTATTGCGTAATACGAAATGTTTGCGTTACTGTATTATGAGAAAAAATGGATTGGTAAGTTTATATAGTTGGGAAAATACGCACATATACATATGTATATGTATGTAGATATGTACGTTCCATAAGCATAGCACAAATGCACTTTAATGGCGTTTTAATTTCTACAAAAAATGTTACTTTTTAAATCACGATTAGGTACTTTATATAAGATCTAAATGGCTTATCTTACTGCAAATTATGTAAGAAGCATCTCAGTAACAACATCCGAAACAAATAGGCACAACTGGTCAAACTTTCATATAAATAAGAGGCTTAATTCAAGCGTCAGCCTTGACCGGATGTCATAAACAGACAGAAAGATTCAATATGCGAGAAGGATACGAAGCACAGTGTCGCGACTCCATATAATCTGCGGCCAAAAATAGTAATCGTGCTCCGGTTCCGCTGAATTTTTTGTAATACTATAATAATAATGTGAAAAGAAGAAATTTTTCAATATGTTGAAAATTAAGTAGCTTTCGCGCCCTCCACACTAGTGGGCGGCAATACTAAATGTACTTCGATTTTGATACAATTTTATAGGTAGCTTTATATTATACATATATCAAAAAAAGTCAAAATGATCGGTTTACTACCACGTTCAAAATACACATAAAAATTACGCAATCGGTTAGACCGAGTAAAATATACATTTAATTTAATTTTGAAAAAATTTCATATGCAATGGTAATGTACTGTCTACATTATATATTTTAAGGACTCACTAAAAAATAGAAAAAAAACTATGAAGCGAACCTCAGCGAACATTCTCATTAGTCTTGATTTGAAGTTAACATAACTTGAAACAAACTCTAAAAAATCGCTGATATGTTCGGATAGGTTTTTTAACTGTCTTCTAAAGTTTTAACGCACACACAAAATTCACCTAGTTTTTGACAATTTCACGAAGTAACGGTACCCTCCCCCGATTATTGAATTAGTTAATAATCAGGGTTTATGTGCATGAGCGTAGCCAGGTAGGGGCAGGGGGGTGCTCGAGCACCCCCTCCTAACTTTCAAATTTTTCTTATATATATATATAAAATAGTACCCTGAAATGCCAACTTAATAGGGTCGAGCCCCCCCTAAATTTCATTCTGGCTACGCCGATGTTTATGTGTATTAAAAACTACTATACTTTATTATAAAACAACTTCAAACAGTTTAAATCCCACATTAATTAAAAAATTACTACAAAACGGAGGCGTTTGGTTTCAAGTTTGGATTCGTAAGTCTATTAATTCGGGTTTTAGGGCAATTCAAGGGCAGCTTATTTAATGCGCTTATAGTTACGCAGTACATATTTATATTTTATGAGCTTCTTAGTCCTAATTGATTTTTGTATCGCGCTAAAAGAACATACATATTTCTAAATGGTTTTCAGATCAATGCTGGGAATTCTATTGATGAAGATAGAGTCGTAGAAATTTTTGAAATTATCCATCCTCAAATTGAGAAGGAAAAGCTGATAAAAGTTCTCCAAAAGTGCTCCGATGAAACTGAAAAGCAAATCGATAAGTAAGTAGTTAGTAACTATACAAAATTCAAATTTAAATACTCACTTTCTTTACGCTGCAGTTGCGAGCGTGCCTTTGCTGCGGCGACGTGCGTCCTTGGCGAGTTGAAGGGACAAGGTGTTACTGATATTTAATTAAATACTGCTATGTTAATACAAGTCTTGCAAAACCCTCGCACGGTATACGGATTGTACGTTTTGCATAGGTAAACCGGTTCCACCGTGCAATGCGTGCACCGTACAAGGCTTTTGCAAGACCTAGAGAATACCCGAAATTAATATAAACATTTTATAAGTATCACTTCATTAAAGTGTAATTGAATTTCTCTACAGTTTTAAATTAAATAAATCAAAAAATTAATTTTTTATTATCTAAAAATTGCAGCTTTAATAAATTGACTTTATCAAATAGAATTTGTGTTTGCTACACTAAAAAATACTTAATAAATTTCAAATAGT